GGGGGTTTTTTGTATTTTTTTTAATTTCATTTTATTTGGAAGTTATTTTTGAATCTGATTTAAAATAGGGTCCATTTTATTTTCTTCAGGTCTTATAGGCATTGTACCAGCACCATGTATTTAATAATGCACTATTTTTTCTAATGAATTATAATTTTGGTATTCTATTAAATTCCTTTATTTAGTGAAATCTATTTCTGCATTCTCTCCTCCTGTAATCTATTGTACTTGCCTATTCTTATGCCAAAACTGTATTGATTTCATTACATTCATTTTATACTATGATCTGCCATATCGTAAGCCAAGTTTCCTCTCACTTTTTTTTTATTCAAAAAGATCTTGCCACTTTTTCCCCCATATAAACTTAACATCACNGGGGTTTTTAACTACACATTATAAGAAAGAGAATATTTTAACCTTTCTTTAGTTTCTTAATTATATTTGTTAGACCTTCCAAAAATATTTTTTTTGGTGGCTGGCTGGTAAAGGATTCATTATTTATTTTTATTCATTTATTCATTCATTCATTCATTCATGATTGCTGGCTGGGGTTCCAAACCCTTGACCTTGGTGTTATAACACTGTGTGATACCAGTTTAGCAAACTGGCCAGCCTTTCCAAAACTATTGAGCAATAATATTTATGGAAATTACATTCTATTTACATCTCGATTTTTTACTTAAATTGTTACAGTATTTCACCTTTTAGGGAAAAAATAACTGCTGTTTGTCCTTGGTTGTGAGGATATTTTACATTTAAGTAGTTTCCTTATAGTCCCTGTTTAGATTAGAGATTTTAGTAAGAATTGCTAAATTATAATTGTCATCCTTATCAACCTATCATTGATTGAATGCCTGATGGAACCACCCCTATATTCCTTAAACAAACATTACTAGGCCATAGATATTATTCTTTAATTAAATAATGTGTGAATTAGATATATTAGTATTTCCTTTTCAATTTTTATATTTATATACATCAGTGAGGTTGGACGTTTTCTCATACTCTCTCAATCAGGATTTGGTATTAAAATGATGCTGGACTCATAAAATGAACTGAAATAACTTTCCATATTTATCATGGTCAAGACTGGTGTAAAAGGCATTGCTCTTTCCTGTTTTAAAAGGAGTTTGATAATTGCAAATCCATTTGGTTAGGGTGCATTTTTCTAAGTACGTTAGTAATCTTTCTAATCTCTTTTATGGTAATGACCTATTCAAATTTTATAATTGTTGAGTCAATTTTAATAATTTATACTTGTTAGAATATCATTCATCTAGGTTTTACAAGTTACCACAGAGTTGTGATTGTGTCATCTTATGATTAACTTACCTTGTGTCTATGGTTTGTCTTCTCTTTCAATCTTAAACACATATTTTCCCACTAATAATCAGTCTCAAAAGGGATTTTGCTATTTTCAAAAAATGATGTCTTGGCATTTCTTTACCCTTTAAGTATTTTTTT